GCTACTAACCGAATGAAATTGGCACAAATAATAAAATTAACAAAAAAATATTAATGCACAAAAAACAAATAAATTGTGAAAGTTTTTTTTTCAAAATAAAAATATTTTCAAAGTTTTTTTTTAATTAAAAAAATTGACTAATTTGGTTTTTATTTTGGATATGGATGTCCAAGTTATGGATTTGGTTAAAACCATATTAAAAATAAATCCAAAATGTGGATTTGGTTAAAACCATACTAATAATTAACCGGTTTTTAATAACCGGATTTAGATATGGATATGGATTATTTAAATAACCGGTTTATTTGAGCACCCCTATAAATATCCTTCATTTAAGAAAATAAAATGGTTGCATATATTCATGAAAACAATAAAAAGTGTTAAGAGATGTCCATTCAACATTTAAAAAAGCATTAATAAAAATGCAGAAAAATATTAAGAAATGAAAAGAATAAAATTGTTAAATTTAACTTATCATTGTCTACCAAATAGTGGTAGTTATTCAAACTGAAATAACTAACTGATAAGTTTGCGAGAAAAAAAAGTTAAAAGGTCCTAGATGGAGAGCCTTTATGATATCAGCCAACTGGTTTGATGAATGAAAATAGGCATCAAATGTATTATTTTTGCTTGAACTTTGTCTTGTTGACAATGTGAATAACTGAATTATTATCACAAGAATTTGTGACCGGTTGTGGATGTTGAATACCAAATCTTGTACGAGGTATAAACTCGTGGTAGATCGTCTAGTGTCATGATAAGATCTCCAATCCAAATAAGTGAAGCCATTTCGTGTGAGGTTTTAGTTGATCTTGAATAAAAGGCCTTTGGTTGCCGCTTGTTTGATGAATTTAAGTATATCCTTAGGGCAAGTGTACATCCATTGCTTGAGATACAAATTGTCTTCACTATAAATGCTTACATATTAGACTTCTGAAACAAGCAGGATTAGCCAAAGATATGACAGTGTTACTGTGGTTTGGATCCATTAGGGTTGAGCCCAGTTTGACACCAAACAATTAGTTTCTTGAAGTGCCTTTTTAAGACTTTGCAACTTCAAAACCCAGGAAATATTTCATATTACCCAAATCTTTGATACTGAATTGTGTGTCTAAAACAAGGTTTAAGTTAAAAAAACCATCCAAGTAGTTTCAGCAAGCATTAAATCATCAACATATACAAAAACAACAATGAAGAAATTATTGGCATACATAGTAAATAACGAATTCATATTTGGATTGTATATAAACCAAGTCAATTAGGGTACTGGTAAGTTTATAGTTCCAATGATGACTAGTTTGCTTTAACCCATATAGCATTAAGATATTATCAATTATCGACATGTATAACATAAATCTGATATAGAAATTTATTGCATTGGAATACCATTTACATGTTCATGAATATATTAATATGCTTAAAATATATGTAAAAAACTTATAATATTTTTAAGAAAAAAATGCAAAATGATATTTATAAGCTACATCGAGTTTGTAGTAACTTTTTCATCTCCATAAATTGGGCTTGTTATAGTTTAATATCTACCTCCAAAAGCATATTACATGTATGTCAAAAGCATATTACATGTATCTCAATAAGCTTCAAGTCAGAAACGCAGAAACAGAATCATACAAAATCCAATATCATAATAAATTGGTTTTTTAACAGCTAACCACATTATCTTTTAAGTGACTTTACAATTTATAAAGATTATTTAATTGCACTATTGAAATTTTCTCAAATTGATTTTTCTTCACATTGCTATGAACACTGTGCAGAAAGGTACACTGTCTACTAAACAAATACTACTATCCATATCTATGAAAACAGACTGCTCTGAGAACTGAAACATGTCAGCCTCTTTTATCCGTAGGTTTTACACATATTTTAATGTCAGGTAAGAAATTCAACAACTTGTATGCCACAAAATATTTGCTAGTGTCCAAAAACCCACACCAACGTCAATTTCATTTTTGCTGTGTAAATCAAAATTTAAGAACACAACAACACACTACACAAAAAGAGCATAAGTAGGAAGAAAATGAAAAAAACAATTTTTTTATCAAGATATTCGTATGGTCTATCCAAAAAGAGCTAAGACCTATAATCATCTATAAAAATGTTAACATAAAAACTAAATATGGTAAATAAACTGAAAACATTAAACCAAAAATATTCAGTGATGAAAATGTTGTAAAAAGTCTTGTTTATAAACCACTATCAATTTTAAAAAGTCTTGACACTGAAAACTTTTTTTGGAATGAACAAATAAATATTCAATTTTAAAATTGAATTTTTATATCCAAATTCGATTTTAAATTAAAAATCGGATATGATCTCTAAAACCAGTTATAAAATATATAACCGGTTATAAAATTTGGTTATGGATATAACCGGTTATAAACCAGTTTTATAAAAGCAAAATCATTTATATGAATTGGTTATAATATCCTGTTATGATAAATAATTTTATATTGGATATGGATTGGTTATATGAATAAACCAAAATGATGAGCATCCGTAATAATAAGTATGGTAGGGATAAACTTAAGATTGCTAAAGAATGATGGGCAATGACATACATGATGTGTGGTTCATGTGTCCAAAATCTAGGTTTTGTTATTATTTAAAAGAGGTGGTTTAAGAAGGATACATGATGAGTGGTTTACATGTGCATGGAAATTATGAATGTTAGGAGAGCTTGGAAGAGGTTGTTATAACTGGCCAAATGTTAAGTAGTAAAGGAATTGCTTCATTCTTCATTGTATTGATCAATAGAGTGTTCCTGAAGGATATCTTTTGGTGTGTCAATAAAAGTGGTAGCTTGTTTGATGTTGTCCTTTTGAGATAAAGGGGTAATCCATGTTTTTTAAAACGTAGTTGTATTGTATGACTAAGTTTGTGAGAATAGTTAAGATACTTCATTATATCAACCATCTTTAAAGAAACCAATACCTACTTTTATTGATTATAATAAAGTGAAGAAGACTTTGTCTGATTGGAAACAATTGAAGATAAAACGTGAAAGAGAAACGGCTCGACTCAAACTTGAGCAAATTAAAAACACAGCTGATTTTAATGGAAGCATGGATGCCATGAATGATTTTTACGAGCTCATTGGATTTCCAATTATTTAGAAATAGAAGAAATGAATGATTTTTACGAGCTCATTAGATTTTCAATTATTTAGAAATAGAAGAAATTACGTACACCGTATTGAGAAATTCTTGTACCTATACTAAATTATAGTGGATTTATTTTTTTGGTCAGGATGACCCGTGGTTTTTACCCTTATTTTTATATTATTTTTTTTATTTTTGTTGCGTGTTACTTTGGAATTGTGTTATGGTGTGTATATGTTAAGAGCTCATTATATACGTGAAAATTTTAATTAAAAATGAAGGTTTATGATAATGAACACTGACAAAATTAGATTATTTTTCAATTTTGTTATTCTATACATTCGATATAATTTTAGTCGGAATCTTAGCAACTGACAATACTTACAACAATACAACTAAAGAGTAAAAAATTAGAATTCAATAGTAAACATGGTGAAATAATTTCTAGTGACATACATAACGTAGTTTTATATTAAAAGTGAATTATGTTTAAAACTTAAATATGAGTGTTTTTTACTCGACGAAAATAAAAACACTACTTACGGTTACTATTATTGGAAAAACCTTTTTGTGATGATTAAACATTTATTTAAATTTTTTTATGTTTCAAATAAGATATATGCTATATTTTGTAAAATGTTTTTTCAGATTTATTTGAAAAATGCATCCACCTATCAATATTTAATAATTTTAGTCCTATGAGCCATAACACAACAATTACATTTTCAATTTCTGTTAATTGATTCATCGTCTAGCATAAATCGATTCACACATTGAAACACAGGTTATTTTCATACAATTTGCGTGTATTGTTTCAACGGGAAACAGAAAAGAGTTATATACAGTGGAAATCAATACATAAACTAATTTTTGTTTTTCTTCTTCCACTGTACATCTGTTAGTTTTAGTTAAATAAAAAGCTTATAACTAGTAATTTAATGGATGCATGCTTAATTTCAAGACTGAAAACCAGGACTGTGGTGAATCAAGCAGCTTCATCCATGTTAATTGCACCTTTGTTACATGTAACCCTTGCTTTAGCATCAGAACCAGTTCTGCTATTTCCAAACTCAGCGAATTAAACGTTTTAAATTTGCAGTTCTTTTGGGTCCCAAACTAAATATCCTTCATTTTGCAACCGAATTTTGATTTGTCCAAAGGAAGGGATAAAGATCGAAATTCCCACAATGCAATGCAAATGCAAGCGAGAGAGTTAGAAATAATTTGTTTAAGATAAATTAAATAACTAGATGAGGGTGAAATTTAAATAAAATAGGTTTTAGTTACTAATAAATAAAATGGTTTTTTTATTATTATAAAAGCATAAAACTGAATTAAATTATAAGTGATTTTATCAAAAAAGTGAGTTATTTAATGAATAAAGTGGAAGGATTAAACGTAAAAGATTAACTTATTTTAAAAAAGGTGGCTGATTATAAACTGATTAATTAGTTAATTAATAAAAGGTAGTGATTAGAGGTTAATTAGGGGAGGCGGAGGGATTAAGTGGTAGCGCAGGTACAAAGATGCACGGTGTGTATGCGATTTGGAACGTGTTTTTTGATCTGAGGATAGATCATGTGGTGCGTGTGTGGGGTGCAGTGCAGTGCGGTGTACTTACCATCACAGAATTACAATAGAGAAAAACTGAAAGAAAAAAAAAAAACAACAACGAAGTGAACCCTAGCCCCCAATCGAACCCCATCTTCGCCTTTCCCCCTTCGTCCGCCATCTCTTTTGTCTGTCATCTCCTTCGTGATCTCTACTCCCGCTTCTTCCCTTTTCGCGATGTCAAACCTGTAAGCCAACAAACATGATAATAATAAGCAGGTCCAACCGGAAATTTTACCCAGAGAAACCAGCGATGGCTCAACGAGGATGGTGGCGCCGGCTTCGCGATTCCGACGAGGGGTTCGCAGTGGTGGTTTCGACGGAGTGGTCGACGGGTTTGTGTGTTTGGACGGCGCTTCCGGCGGAGCTCACCGAAAGATATAAGTCTTCTTCACAATTTCTAGGGTTTTAAGTTTGGGGTTTTTTGTAGTGCTTGTGAGTTCTGTCCTCTTGTCCTTGTTTCTTGTCTCAAATCCCTGATTTTATAGGCTTCAATATTGAAATGTCTTGATTGAATTTGATTAAGGGTTTTGAATGCCTGATTTAAATGCTTTGAATACTGATTGGAAATTTCTGTTTTGGTTATAACTCGATTCAAAAAAATTTATACATTTAGAACCATGTGATCATGGATTGATACATTTAGAACGCCCAATAATTTATTGGATTGATACATGCAACCCTCTATTCGCTTGCAGCATTTATTTCTGCAAATACTCTCCCTTTATTTTTTCTAAACACATACATCATTTTATTGTGTTTATTGATTAAATATACCACCTTGATTGAATTGGCAGATGCCATAATAGAAACCCTATAGTTGAAAATAACTTAACCTTGTTTTGATTTTGAAGCTAACCGAATTATTAGTTCTTTTCATTTAGCTATATCTTTCTCAAGGAAAAAAAGTTGTAGCAAAGAAATTAAACCAATTATATTTTGGGGCTAATATTTGAAATCCTGTTTAACAATTCAATGTTGTTTTGGCCCTTGAAGTTAACCTAACTATAATGAAAGTGTCAAATAGAGCAAAAGGCATATCATTTTCGGTTATTATTAACCCATATTAACTATGTGAAATGCAAAAATTACCGCAGTTTCCCTTTTTTTATTACTTAGTATTCCATAAAACTGATTACTATGTCCTGCACAAGACTTGACACAACTCACTAACTGCTGTTAATTTACCTAATGCTACCTGTGCTCTTACTCACAAATATTTGACTAAGCTCTTGTCCAAACTAAGAAGATATGTTACAACTTACACGTCTAAATAGATGCTAATATTTTGTACTGGATTGAAATAGAGCTCCTGGTGGAAGCCACACACATTACACATGATTCTGATACTCAAGTCTCCGGCATCGCTGCCTTTTACTGAATTAAATAATTAGATAACTCGAAATAGAGGTGAAAATTTGTTGAAACTTGAAATAGATGGATTATTTTGAGCATGCTTGATTTTTCTGTTAATTTTAGTTACATGTTTAAGTTGTAACCAATTAAGATCCCTTGGTATTTAGAGTATTCACAAAACACTGCTTGATAATGACGACCAAAGCAAGAGACAATGTAGTAACTAAGTCATTTCCAAACTTCATAATTTACATATTGTTGAATTATTATAGTTTTGACATACTATTTTGTTTAACTTGAAGTAAATCTCATAATTATTGAAGTTTTCTCAATTGTTTGTTTGAAAGTTCTGAAAAGAAAAATTGTTTATTCTGGGATATATTCCTTTTCAGTGTGTACGGCAACCCAATTCCTGTTAAGGAGCTTGCCGATCGCGTGGCTAGCTATGTGCACCTTTGTACATTATATTGGTGGCTCAGGTCAGTAAAACCGTCAGTCTTGTATTCATTTTAAAGTTGTATCATTTTCTCTGTGCATATTAATAACTAATCTATAATGGTGCTGCAGACCTTTCGGCTGTGGTGTCATACTAGGTGGTTACGACAGAGATGGACCACAGTTGTACATGGTTGAACCTTCTGGTGTCTCTTATGTGAGTCTACTCTATTTGATAGAAATATCTAGACTTCTCATTGTTGCCTGAGCTACTAATAGTTTTTTTGAAGTTCCATGTGATAATTTTTGTACTGATCTGTTTGTATTGGTATTGGTTTTAGAGGTACTTCGGTGCTGCAATTGGGAAGGGCAGGCAGGCTGCAAAAACGTAAGTTGACAGTTAATTTGTATTTCAATACTAAACCGAACAACTATTGTGGCTTCCTTTTCATTACTGCCTATGCTAGGGACAGTATATTCTTATTGCTTAACTTGAATCCTTTGCTTCCTGTAACAAATATATTTTTTCAATAAAACATGTTCCGTGCTGCTACTTTGAGTTTTTGTTACATGGGATCTCTGTTTGTAAATTTTGACAATCCGCTGCTGAAGGTTGAGCAAGATTGGAGTTAATCTTGCATGGAACTTCTCTTACTACACATAGCTTATGTGTAGACAATTGTTAGAGGGGTTGATAATGTTACCTTAGCCTTCAAGACCTTCTTCTGTACCTTGCAAGTTTTCCCTGCTCCCCCGTTTTAGACTCAACCTGCATGTGTGTTTTGTAACTTGGGTTTAATTTTAGTGTGGTGGTAGGTGGACACCCAATTGACACTCAGTATAAATAGACTTTTTTCAGGACTCATGCCAAAATATACTTTACTAAACAATACCTATAAAGACACTACTTTATTGGGAAGGTGTCAAAAGGGTGTTGGGATTATTATGCATTTGTCTATGAAACATTGGCTTTAATGTATATGGCCACTGCCATTGTGGTTTGAGAAGACTATGAACTTTTCCTTTTTATTCAGGAGGGTATAGACTTAAAATTCAAGTATTGTGTAATTATATGCACAAATTTGGTTAAGGTTTCTTTATGTAACTCGGCATCATCTCCATTTCTTTGTGAAGAAGTAGTATGGTGTATAATGGATTATTTTATTTTGATAAATATAAAAAAATATGGTAATGACGATTGATCTGGAGGGAAGTCCAATTAGTAGGGGGTAGAGGGATTTAGAAAAATTATGTTGCTATTTGATGCATTTAGCTGATCCAGCTAATGAAAAAATGTTTGCTTCTTGTATGAAAAGTCCCATATTGAATGTGATTTCTGTCTTATGCTGCATTGCATCAGTCTCCATATCCGCATTTTGTTTTACAACGTTATCTTGTTAATGTATTGGCAGAGAGATTGAAAAGTTGAAGCTTGCAGACTTGACTTGCCGACAGGGAGTTATTGAAGTAGCGAAGATGTAAGTAGCATGCTTATTGCCAGTGTTTGTTATTACTGTTTATATTTCCAATGTGAAACATGCCCTATTTTGTATTTGCAAGCTGACTTATACAAGGATTTCCCTTTTTTTTTATGTATGTTTGTTTTGTTACTTAAAAAAGCGGAATCTTTTTCCAAGTCATAGTATCAATTACTTAAGATAATAGTTACTTACATATTTTTTGTTGCAATTATTTGTGCCAAACAGTATATATGGAGTTCACGATGAGGCCAAGGATAAAGATTTCGAACTCGAAATGAGCTGGGTGTGTGAGGAATCAAATCGTCAACATGAAAAGGTAAGAAAGGGTGTGCTTTGGCTTACTTCATACAGTGACATTTTTCTTTCAACTATTCTAATTCAAATAATGATCATATATGGAATTCGCATAGCATAGCATCCACAAATTTTTTTTTGTTTCATCTAACTGGTTTGTATTAGTTCCAGTCATTCTGAAATTATCATAAATAAACTCTTATTCTTTTGATTCAGAGTTTTAGGTTTCTGGTTAATTCTACGATCTCTGATAGTATCATATTAAAGTCATGATTAGCATTTATAAGTAAGAGAGTAATTGAACATGCCTTGAATAAGGCAATACTCAAATGTTCACATGGGGCTGGATATTATTATTTATTTCCTAAAAGCTTATGTGATTCAATAATACCATATAATTCTTCCAGGGGGTTTTAACTGAGTTGTCATTTCCATGTTTTCTTTGATTTGAGTCTGAAAATCAACTGGGTCTAATTGTTTTCCAAGTTTTGGCTGAAAGAATGAAAAGCTAGTGAAATTCTTAGGTTAAAGAGAGACTGACATGGAGACAATTGGTTTGCAATTGTATAGTTTTGGTTTTTAAAGCTCACTCAAGACCTTTAATGTGTGTGTCGATTGAATGTATTTGACAAAATCATGATGGTGCGGTATTGAATTAATGATATGCAGGTCCCGGAGGAGCTTCTAGAAGAAGCTAAGACAGCAGCCAAAGCAGCTCTTGAAGAAATGGATGCAGATTAACAGATCAAAAGTATGTATCCCAAAGATGTATTTCATTAACTTGTAATAGAGAGCATTGAGAACATCTATAGAAAATTCATAGGCTTTTAATTTGAAGATTGCTCTGAAAAATTGGATTCTTGTATGTTTTTTGATGATTTCCGTTGCTGTGGAGAACTGTTTCAAAGTGCTCTAAAGACTGCTCTTATCAATTAATTTAGTGTTGAATTCTATCTGTCTTGGCCACTCTGGTTTGAGAAAATGTTGTATGAAACCAAACCTATCTTAATTCTCTTACTCTGCACGTTACTTTCCATGGAAGCATTTTATCAAACTGAGCATTGCCTATGAGCCATAACACAACAGTTAGGGGAATTATTCTTTTGAATAAAAATAAATCTCTAAAAAAATCAGTCAACACTAAATCCCTATATTTTCTCCACGTAATCCTCCCATTTTCAACCCTTATTTACATATATATACATACATATCCTAAGTTAATAGGAATATAATTAATCTCATATTATAATGGAGTCTCTGCAGAAAAAATTGTTTCCTAAGCGGTTCAAGGAAAAAAGGAAAGTCAAAGAAAAATCTATCAAAAAGAGAAAAGTAGCACTGATTAGTGTGATTGAAAATAAGAAATTAAAATTGCAAGAAGAAGAAGAAAAAAGAGTCCAATTGCACGAAGAAGAAGAAGAAAAAAGAGTCCAAGACAATGACACTTCATTATATCAACCATCTTTAAAGAAACCAATACCTACTTTTGTTGATTATAATAAAGTGAAGAAGACTTTGTCAGATTGGAAACAATTGAAGATAAACCGTGAAAGAGAAACGGCTCGACTCAAACTTGAGCAAATTAAAAATACAACTGATTTTAATGGAAGCATGGATGCCATGAATGATTTTTACGAGCTCATTGGATTTCCAATTATTTAGAAATAGAAGAAATTACGTACACCGTATTGAGTGTATTGAAAAATTCTTGTACCTATACTAAATTATAGTGGATTAATTTTTTTGGTCAGGATGACCCGTGGTTTTTACCCTTATTTTAAAGGGGTTTTCCACGTTAAAATTCTCGTCTCTTTTGCGATCTATTTTTCTATATTATTTTCTTACCTTTGTTACATGTAACCCTTGCTTTAGCATAAGAACCAGGTCTGCTATTTCCAAACTCAGCGAATTAAACATTTTAAATTTACAGTTCTTTTGGGTCCCAAACTAAATATGATTATTAATTGTACACACCACCCAAAAGTATCTTTTATTTATATTTTTTATCTTTCTTTTAAAGGATTTGCTCAACAAACATTTACCAAATAAACAACCGTTTGTACTTTATCTTTTTAATATGATTTTTGCCCTTTCGGCGACATATTTGGCATACATTTACAAGGCCAAGGTCAAAAGGAATGGGAGTCATTATAGATGCATCTGGCCAACGTACTCACGCACATAATATATTTTTTTAAATTCTCCCAAAAAATTTTTTTTCAAAAAAATAAAAAATTCAATTTTTTTCTCAAAATAAAAAATAATTAAATCTTTTTTAATTTAAATAAATAAATTATTCTTTTTTTAAAATATTGTGTAAATGTTTCTTTTAAATTTTAAAAATTGGGTACAAAAAAGTTCATATTTTAAAATTGGTTTATAATTGCAACAAATTATAAGCTTGTTTATAAATAATTTTAAAGTAGTTTTAAATTGAATTGAAATCATTTAACATGTAAATATATTTTTATTAAAATAGTTATTATAAATTGAACTATGAATATAATTTGATTCAATTCAGTTCATGAATAATAAACACTTCTAATTTAGACTATCAATCATAATAAACACTTCTAATTTAGACTATCAATCATTAACTCACATGATTACACTTGGCTTCCCACCCACAAAAGTTAGTTTAAAATATTTAAAATTGGACTCTAAGTAAATTAATCTTAGTAGGCATTCACTTCCACTCCATCACAAAGCATAAATATGTAATCCTATCTCATAATTTAAACAGAGCCTAAATCAATCTCAAAAATTAATTAAATAGATTTGGGATTGTCCAATCCAATATATATAAGTTTTATATAAAAATAAAAATAAAAAATAAAGTTAGACAAGGAGATCCACTATCTCCTCTTTTTTTTGTTTGACTGAGGATGTTCTTAGCAGGGTCCTCACTTACTTGGTTGCGATAAACTGGCTAAAGTGTATTAAAGCTTGTAAGAATGTGACTTTTCCATCTCACACATTATACGCAGACGACATTATGTTGTTTACTAGAGGCTGCTCTTCGCCGCTGGAAGCAATTGTTGAGTTATTTCAGAGATATGTTATATGTTTGGGCAAGTTTGCAACCCTGCAAAGTCCATTACGTCTGCAAGCTCAATGTCCACTATTATGCCCGATTTTTTGGCTAGCAAAATTGATTTCAAGATGGGGTTTTTGCCTCTCTTTTTTTGTATCTTGGGGTCCCTATCTTCAAGGGAAGACCTAAGGTTGTTTACTTCCAACCGATTGCATATGAAATAAGGATTAAGTTGGCGGCTTGGAAGGCGAGTTTGTTGTCAATAGCTGGTAGAGTCCAATTGGTTAATTGAGTTATACACAACATGTTGCTTTACTCAGTCAGAATTTACTCTTGGTCTGTCAGTTTAATTTCTTAATTTTATATAGAGTGGGACATTAATCAGAGGAAGATGACCGCGGTGGCTTGGAAATACTATTGTCAGGATATTAAAGATGGAGGGTTGGACATTCGATCTCTTAGGGCAACAAATGAAGCCAACAATTTTGCGCAGTGCTGGAATATCATTAACGAGATAGACACTTGGGTAACTATTATCAAAGCTAGAGTTTTCAGGAAGGTCCGCCTCTGAAAGTCTCATGTGTTTTCTTCAATTTGGATGGTGTCGCTACGCGAAAAATGACACAGAGTCGCCACCAGATTTTATTTATCCCAAGGGGGGAAAAGGGAAATAGCGATAAAACCTTTGGGAAAGGAGCGTGGTCATCGCAACCAAGTCTCAGGGTTCGGGAGTCAGTTATGCGAGGGGAAGGTGTTAGCACCCCCTCCCATCCATCGTACTCGATGGGAACCTCCTAGGTTGTTTGGCGTGAATGGGTGTTTTATTCTAAAAGTTTGCTTGTTTAAAGAAAAGAGGGGTTGGGGTTTATTAGAGTGCTCGCCAAGGATTGGGGCCCTTGTGCCTACGTATATTCACTTGTATGAAGTGAAGAATCAGAGCATTCGTAGTTCACAGGACTACGGTGGAAAACGGGATGTTGGGTGGACAATGCTATCGTGCACATTCTAGCAGTTAAGTGTACTGGGGCTCGCTCTTAGAGTCTTATGCGTTACCTGTTTGCGGTAGAATGGACGTAACATGTCCTTGGGTTAAAGGGTATGGATGATTAAAGATGGGAAAGAAAGAAAATTGTGCTCGCTAGGATCATCGCAATCCTATGCCTACGTATTCTCAACATGTGTGAGAAATCAGAGCGGCCGTAGTTCGGCCACTTAAGAAATAATTGTGTATTGGTTGATTTTATACCTTGAAAAATGGTTTTCGGATTGACGCCCTAAGGCAAAAGAAGTTTGATGAGTTTATATTGTTTTTAGGTTTTTCTTAAGGAAGAATTTATTCTTGACTAGGATTATACAAAAGACTTTGGATAGAGATGAACGTCTCGAATAACCAAGTCGAGCGCCTTGTATTCAAAACATTCGGAATGGGTGTAGGAGGATTCCATTCTCATTCCTTCTTAACCACTTTAAAGTTCGTGGTGCATAATTCTACTCGTATATTTTATTGTGTTTTGGGTTTTTTATGAGAAAAAGGATCACTTGATGTTGGATCAAGGTTTACTGTTTGTAAAGATACATTTGAAGCGATACAGACAAGGTCGATGGCGATGCGCTAGGCAACCGACTTACAAGGTTAAAAATGGCTCGATAAAATCGAGAGTTAGTTTTTGGAAATGGTTTTTGGAATCAAAACTCAACAAGGACAATAGCAATATTCACATACTAAAATCATACAAACATATGGCGTGAACACCCTTTGCAAAAAAACATAAGGTAAAAACAGCAAGAAAATAAACAAACTGATAAGTTCGCCCCGCGAACTGAGAAAAGTGAACATTCTGTTTTTTGCATGTTCGCGCCGCGAACTGGTAAAGTTTTCATTCTGGTTTTTGCATGTTCGCGCCGCGAAGGGTGTTCGCACCGCGAACTGGGAAAATTTTCATTCTGGTTTTTGCATGTTCGCGCCGCGACCTGAAGCGAAAAATGAAATATTTTGCTGTTTTTTGCTGTCTTTTGTGGTTTTCTTTCCTTTCTATTGGTTCTTAAAAATGGTTTTTTGGTTCCTTTAGAACCTTACATGATATACTCAGTACAACAACACGTACAAGAGGAAGTAAAATGAATATAAAAGCAAAAAGTAAAGAGAGAAAGGTTTGAAATGGATACCCAAGAGCTTTCTATCTTTCTTGCAAGTCCTCCACTAGTTTTTGTTGGATGTGCTCTCCACTCTTCACTCTACGTTGTGAAGGTTCTCCTTCTCAATGGTCCTCTTGTGATTCTATGTCACTCTTTTTTTTTGGTTTTTCTTCCTTTCTATTTTTCTAGTTTTTAAGGTTTCTCTTGCTCTCTCTATTTTATGGTTTTTGCAATGTGTATGTGATGTGTAATGAATCAATGAAGTTGTTTACAGCCCCCTCCTTCTTATCTCTCCATTCTAGGGTTTTCTCTTCACCCCACATATCAAATTTTTTTCATTGGGTAATGTCTCTTACCACCTTTCCTCATGTCACTCTCTTTCTTTCCAATTATATATATATGGCTATGCCGCATTTTTCTGCACTACTTTCCCATGCTGTCTTTTTCTACAGCCCTCTACATTGCTGTCTTTTTTTCTACTGCACTTTGTATCTTGCACCCCTTTTGTTGGCTTGTGTCTTGACAGCTCTTGTGGTCAATGCTACTACCCTTTTGACAGCATTTTGAAAAA